ATGTTGAAGATTCTCTATTGTTGCACCACGTATAAGTTCCTCCTGACAAAGGCAAATCAATGAGATTAACTTGTTGCACAAATGATCTAAGGATATCGATTGAATTCCAATTTTGTGATTTCCCTTGCTTTTCTTCCGTATCAATATACGCATTGAAATCTCCCCCAATACAAACTGGAAAATTCTGTGACATAACAAATTGCAGCAGCTCCCCATAAAATTCTTCCTTTTCAGATTCGATAGATGGCCCATACACATAAAAACAAACTCCATTTGACCATTCATCAATTTCCCCACTACTGCCAAAAACCTGCTGTGAACATACTGGTAAATGACTTGAACCACACTTTCATTCCACATAGTAATCAACCCCCCCCCCGATAAACCTTGAGCTGGAGATACCAGTACTCCCTTTAGCAAATTACCCCCTATCCTCCTTGTAATCGACACATGGACTTGTTCCAACTTTGATTCTTGAATGAATAGAAAAACCGGTTTTAACTTCCTAACTTGCCTTGCAACTGCTACAGTTTTTTCACTTCTCCCAAGGCCCCTTATGTTCCACGTTAGAATACTTAGTTTATTCATATAAAATAGTCAACACCCAAACAGCAAAAACCAATACTGCAAACAGCAAATACTGATCTACAGTCAAGCTTCCTTTACTGCCTTTGAATGTCTCTCAAGGCTTAAAATTTTTTCAATAAAAGCCTCCTTCCCTTCGTTGAAAGAAATACCCAACATTTGAGAAACTTGCCAAGTAGCCAATGCTTCCTCCAACAACTTCGAGAATGTGAATGAAGAAGCAGTATAGATATTAACCCAGTCCATGGCTTCAGTGATTAAGCCTCTTTTCTTCCTTCTATATTCTTTTCTTGACCCTGAAGTGATTGAAGAAGCTGCTGCCACACTTTTTGAGTATTCACCACGAATTAAAGGAGCCATAAATGTATCTTGAAAATTTACATAACAGGTGATGTCCTTGTCCTGTTCACATCCACTAATTTTTGGAGACAGTTGCTGATTATTACTGAGCTCAAAATTATTCTGTTTCTGAATTAGAAAACCCTCTGCACAAATGACATCTTCTTCCTTACCCGAATTCAACCATATACGTCTATTCCTTGTTCTTCTATACGCTCTAGTATAACTTGATTTTCCTCTCCTTCCATCAAGAGCACTTCTTATAGACAGACATTTAGAAACAGGAAATCCCAGCTTCCACTTTTTAGCACTCTTCATATTGAATTCATTGTTTTCTTCCTGTATCAGTTTTCCTTCCACTTGCTTACCAAGAACATTAATCTGATTTGCCTATACTCCCTCAATTTTATCCTCTATTACGATGCATCTTTCATTTTCATTTGATTCAAGAGGAGACTGAACCTTTGAATGAAATTTTGTCCCATCCCACTTCAATTTAACAGTAGGCCCAGCAGAAATTAATTTAGTAACTGGGGAATATGACTCCCAATTTGAGTCTGAATGGGTTGAACAACTCTGAACTCACGTAGCCCAAGCCCCGCATAATCCCTATTAGGACTTAATTCAAATTAAAATTGTCTGACATCCCATTAATATTGGGATGTGTGAGAGACTTTTTCCAGAGCATGTTCCCCACTTTCCACCATCTTACCCACTTTCTTGACTTTTGTGTAAGCACGTGCCTAACTTTGACCAAATTCCTTCAGCTGAGATTCCCCGTTTATCTTCTTCCTTCACTGCATCTCCTCCCTCATCTTCCTTTGAAAAATCAACACTGTAACCATTATTTGAATAGTTCTCCAACTCGACTCCATTCGCATCAACACTTACATTACACGACAGATCCAAATTAACTTTAACTTTAAAGGATCTACCATATGATCCCACAGTATAAATTCGGGTACATCGAACGGACTTGCTACCCTTAACAACACTGTTGCCGATGAGAGATCCTCTCTATTTCTTGTCTTCTCAGGGATGTTAACAAACTTTCCCAACCTTGCTGCAAGTTTTTCCAAGAAAGGTTCATTCCAGCTAAGAAGAGGTAAACCAACCAGCTCCACCAAGCAATATGCCAGAGGAACACCTTCTTCATTCAACACCAAAGCTAACCAGTCAAACCAGAAGCTTAACTTCTCCTGGAAACTCGACCACGCCTTTTCTAAATCTTCTTTTGAATTGAACACAATAATACTGGCATTCCTTACATATCCCCACCTTACTATTTTTACCTCAAAACCCTCCTTTGCCAAGGCCTTCATCACTACAGCAGGCTGTAAGTGATCTTTGATAACCCCTGTTAAGGACTTTTTCACCCAGCATGAATCTTGTGATGGGATGTGCATTTCCCATACATTCCTTACTCCATTCAAATTCATATTCTGACCTCCCCTATTTTCCATAATTTCATTAACCATCATACTTCTATTCTCCACATTCAAAACCTCCTTATACGTTCTACCATCCCTCAGACTTCGCTGTTTCTCCAGTTCAACCTGCTGCCTACCATCCTTCAGGCTTCTCGGATTCTCCAGTTCAACCTCTTGCCTCCCATTGTCCCCTCTAACTGACATAAATCCTTCCAACTGAACTCTATTTTCTTCTGTTGCTCTTTTCCTGCCCTTCCTGTACTTTGCAATCCCCACTGAGACTCTCTTCCCGTCGATCAACGTTCCATCAACATTCTGAACCGCTCTTCTACAGCCTTCCTCCTTATCATATTGCACAAAGGCAAACGTTGATGATTTATAATTTGGTTTGACCATTAAATTTGGAATAAAGACCCTCACGACTCTACCATAATGATTAAAAATCTCTCTTAACTCTGATCTATTAACTCTCTTACTAAGATTGTCGACAAATACAGTCCACTTCTCATCGGAGGATGAACGACCTCTCACACTGTCTCTCATTCTCCCCATCTTATCTGCTTCCACCATAATTACGGCTAACTGTTTCTGACCAGAATAATTCAACTTCAGTTATATTTAAAAATTACTAAAATGTTGCACGAACCACTTACTTCAGTGGTTAAAAGAACCATTGTTGTTTCTAGAGGTCACAGGTAAAGCACCATCAGTTGCAGCAGTTTCTAGAGGTCACGGGTTCAAGTATTTAGAATAAATATTATTTTGTAATTATACCTGCATATCAAATGAAAAGTAGTGGCAAGTAAAATAAAACTTTTAAAATAGTTATCATATATGCTATCTTCTAAAAAGAAAAAAAAACAACAAACTTTCTATTTTTTTCACTTTATTAATAAAAGAATATATTAGACTATAAAAGTAAGATGGTTAATTGCCTAAACTTTGTGTATATATAATATATACTAATATTTCATATATATAAATATCTTCAAATAAATAAATTTTTATATATTGAGCAAATAATAATATTTAATTAATATACATATAAATATACAATGTTAAAAAATAAAGAAAAAATGAATAAAAGAAGTTACAAGATATGGAAAGGAACATACCTTTCAAATTTGGATTCGACCATTCGTTAACAACAGTGTTCTATTTCAAATTGAGTTAAAAGCTTTTCTATCTCAAGCCAAAAGTTCTGTCTTTCTGTTGATTAAATGACTGGATAATGATGTTCATACCATGAGCTGTTTCAATTGGCACAAAATCAAAAGGTGTGTGATTAAATGCTGGATAATAATGTTCATACAATGTGTTGTTTCAATTGTCACAAAATCAAAAGGTGGGATTTAAAGAACGTCGTAGAAGTGGATGTCATTTAAAGTAACCATGCTTAGCTGCTACTTGATAGTACTCTGCGAGTAACTATACTAGTTATATAGTACTCTGCTAGTAACTATGCTAGTTATTGATAGTCTAAATCCTCTGGTGCTACAATCTCTACCTTTACAAGATTAGCATATTGTAGATTAATGTAGCTTCTAACAACTTAATCGGAAGGAGATGAGAAAAGAGGACATACAACAACACATCTCCTACTGGTTATGTAGAAAATGGCAAATACCACATAAACTCGAAGTGAAGAAATGCCTTTTTGTATCATAATATGCCACTTCAATCTAAATACTGGTATCATCTCAAATTTATATTGTTATAAATATGTACTACTAGCAATTTGATATTATTCCATATCTTCAATTTAGAAAATCAGAACTTTAAATAAATGCCAAATAGTTCAAACCGAAATCGAATACCTAAACTTGTTCATATAATTATATCTAGTAGTAACAAAAATTGAATCAAACAAGGATATATTTCCAATACTAACACCAAATACTGAAAGTTTTTTTAGAGAAATATTATCCGTAATAGTTACTTACAAAATTAAAGAATACTAGAGGCTAAGGTAACAAATTATCCGTCAGTAGTTCCAATGAAGTGAAGAAAACATCTACAAAAACCAACACTAAGAAATTCAATAGCTTAGCCTTACTTCGAAAGGAAAAATGGTCATTTAGCACCGAAACCCACCTTCTTGTGGGGACAAAACTTTAAGGGAAAAAAATAAGTGTTGAAAAGAAAACTTATGAATACAACACAAAATATTCATAAAAAAATATAAAACTTATGAATACAACACAAAATATTCATAAAAAATATAAAACTTATGAATACAACACAAAATATTCATAAAAAAAATATAACCGATAGAGCTAATCTACTCAGAAAACTTATGAATACAAAATATTGATACACGGTACAAATCATGCACCCTATTGAAAAAGAAATGTTCATTATTTTGACAAGTGTTCAATGACTAGAAATTGTATGTATTAAAAAATCTAGCATGACAATAAAGACAATTGTTACCACAATAATTTATACGGATTTTATTGCTTTATTGAAAGAAACAAGGATTATACTATGCACATTATCATCCTTAATAATGATGATTCTCCAGCAATGAAGGCATTAAATATAGTACGATTGCAAAACCAAGTGAAACGTTAATTTGCAAAGAGAAAAAAAAAAGAATATAAGAACTATGCGAAAACTTATTACCGTGACATAGTTTTCGCATCTCAGTGCAGACGAGGTAATCAAAGATCATTCAGTACAAAATGTTAAAATTGAAGCTATAGTGATATAATCATACAATTGATTTGTAGTGACCCAATCAAAACTAAAGAAGGCGAACCGTGCTAACACACTATTCAAAAAACTCCAAGAGATCATACTTTTTTTTCTAAACAAAATAGCGCGAATGAAAATTTTAAGAAGAATAATAGTAAAATTTACCTCGAGGCTAAAAAGCTAAATTGCTTTGAATCTAAAACGCACTCGCTATTCCATCTTAATTTAACCTGAAAATAGTCTAAAATGTCAACTCCTGTAGAGATCATTTTTAGAACAAAAAAGCAGAAAAAATAGGTTGCAATAAAGAGGAAGAAAATGATACAGATAGATTTTACAACAGCGTTTCTACCGTAGGTGTAAAACACTCCATTTATCCAGTCCATTGGCGAGAAAACATGTCAAAAACATATTATTGTATAATTGTTTTCAACAAAAAAGTACGCTTCACTCTTATGGATTTCTTTTCAGTCACTTTTTAGGTAACCAAACGGATTTAAAACAAAGTAACTACAAGACAAAGTTTTAAACCACCATCAGTAACAAATTCAGAATCGAAGCAAAATAACAGTTCGTAAAATTCACAAACTACAAAGTACTTTACAGAAAAAGAATCAGCATTCGCGTTTAAAGCTGAGAATGCAAGCTCAAAACTAAAATTAAAACAACAATATGATTATGCATGTTTCAGGTTAATCAAAAGAAGAACAAATAAAAGGAGAAAAATAGATGAAAATAGATCTGATTCAATTAAGGAGACGTATAAAATGACACCTGAAGAAGCTAGAAGCTGAAGAACGCGAAGCATGAACGAGAGAGAGAAAAAAATATCTGAATCAGTAGCCAATGAGAGATGAGGGGATTTCCTTCTTAAAAAACAAGTTAATGTGGGGGAGAATAAAAAAAGGCTGCCCCCACTAATCTGGTTCTTACGTAATTAATTAAATAGAAATTATTCATTAATCAAACATTTGTTAAAGCTCGAGTATTTTCTCGTTTATAATATGCGGGTTTTTGGAGACAGCCGTTGTTTCGTTTTCACCTGAAAACCGGCTAAGCGCTATATTAAGTTTCAGCAGCCGGTTTCCACGCCAATAAGTAATAAGCTTAAATTGTCCAAATTATATGTTTTTCTAAAATAAGTGTAAACTTTTTTTCAATTCGTCCGGAGTATAATGTTACCATTTTAGATGTACGAGTCATAATAGGTATTAAATTTCTTTGTTAAATGACACATTTTATGTTCAAATAATTTTGAAAATTTTTATTTAAATTTTAAATAAAAACTTAAAATTATATTTAATAAAACCTTCAAACTTTTCAAAATTCTTAAAAAAACTAAACATAGAAAACCCTAAATCTAATCTCATACCACCATCGTCCTTTACCATCGTCGTTATTATCGACTAAACCTCCCCCAACTGTGCCTACACATACGACCACCCACACGGTGAACAACCATTGAATTGCAATTTAAAGGGAGAACGATGATCACATTGGGGTGTTTGTCGATTTAAAGGGTTTTAGTGTTTAGTGAACGAAAGTGACAACAAGGGCAGCTACGATGGGTGGGTGATTTGGTCGACAGCGACATCAATGGTGGTGATCGACATTTGTAAGGAGGAATAAGGTTTTTTATTAAGCTAATGTGATTACAAAGTAGTATATGTTCTAAATATTCTCAACAATTTGACAGTGAACGCTCAATCACCCTATTAAAGTTGTCGGTGCTCGAACTCGTAACCTCTAACGATATATTTAACGACTGTTATAGCCTAGACACTTAAAGTTGTAATGTTTGTAATGTTAAGCACATAGTTGAATAAAAAAAATTAGGAACCTGTTTGGAAAAACTGGTATAGTTTGGACACTTATTTTCTCATTAAGCCTAAATTGTCACTTTCGTTTAAGTTTTGTTCACTTTTTTAATTAAATTCAAAAACATAACATTTGATCACTTTTGTTTTTATTTAATTAAGATTTAGTCACATTTATTTTTATTTAATTAAGATGTGGTCACTGATGGTTAACTGTCATTATATTTTTAATAGATTGTTGAAGTGACACGATGAATTTATAAAATTAAAAAGGATAAATTACACAAATTGTCACTAATGTGTGAGTAAGTTTTCGTTTCCCCCATTTAAGTTTCAAAAATAACAAACAGTTCCCTAAAATATCAAATAGGTCCTTAAACAATGATTCTATATATAATTTATTCCAAAAGATTTATAATTTTTCAATTATCATTCGAAATATTTAATTGATTCATGTCAAAAAAATTATTTCTAAATTTGTTTAAAATTTAAAAAGTATATATATATATATATATATATATATATATATATATATATATATATATATATATATAAATTGGAAAAATTAAAAAACTTTTGGGATAAATTAGATATAAAATCATTGTTCAATGACATATTTGATGGTTAGTGACCAATTTGTTACTTTTGAAATTTTAGTGGGAAAAATAAAAATTTACTCAAACATTATTAATCATTTATGTAGTTTACTTTTTTTTATTTTATAAATTCACTGTATCATGTTAGCAATTCACTAAAAGTCTAACGATAATTAATCATCAGTAACCACATTTTAATTAAATAAAAACGAAGATAATTAAATATAATATTTTTTTAATTTAGTGTGAGAAAATGTACAGAATTCAAACAACAATGATTAACCATATAGTTCACCCTAAAAAGAAAAGAGATTTACCTAAAAATTGTGTGAATAATATTTTTAAATTATTTAATAAAATAAACATGTTTTTTTATTAAAAATAGTATTAGTGATTAAAATAAAAAAAATCTAAAAAAAATAATTGTATAAATTTTAATTAATAATTAAATAATAGTATGATATTTAAGAGTTCAAATCAAATTTTTTATAATTATTTGATATTATCTTTAATTATAGTACTGATATAAGCGATAGAATTCAAAATATATATTTAATAGTTCAAAATCAATAAATTTGATTATTAAATTTTGAAATATGAAATCATTTAAATATTAATATTTTAAATATTTAAATAATCTTTTAAAAACATAATGAATATTTGAATATAATCGTACATGTGTGTCGTCGTTTAATTTACGTTTGTATTCATAAATATGCGTCTTTGACTTGTATGATGTTTTTTTCATAAAAGACATATAATCTAAATGGGTAATTTACACTAATCATCACTCTTTTCTATTTCACTTATTGTACTTTAAATTCGTTTAATTTCTTTACTAAATTTAACATTACATTTTTAGTCACTCAGCCGTTTTCTCATTAAACAACGTTATAAATGAGCTGTTATGTATATTCAAAATGACGTCATTTTAACGTTGTTAAATATTAACGGTTGAGTGACCAAAAATACTAATCATGTTAAATTTAGTGACGAAATTGAACGAATTTAAAGTATAATGAGTGAAATAGAGGAGAGAGAGTAAAGTTCAGTGATGATTGATGTAATTTACCTAATTTAAACAAATATGGTATTCCTTTTTTTCATTATAAAATGCGTTTAGTATATTATTTAAAATTAAATATTTAGTTATATTATTTAATAAATACAAATTTTAAAAAAATAATAGTGTTAAAGAAATAAAATAAATATAATGAAAAATGATTCATTAAGTGAAAATATGTAACTTTTTATACTTGTTTTCGTAGTCCATTAAAATATGAATAAGTTTTAAATAAAAAGACAACCGTACACTTATCATTGTTTACCATTAATTTTCTTTTTACTTTATTAAGATACTTTTACTTTTTAATTAAAAATAAAAATCACTTCAAAATTATAGTTTAATGTAATTTTATAAAAAGAAATGGAAATTCAGCTGAGATTTTTCAAATTATATGCAAGCAAACCAACAACGCAATGGTGGGCAAAAGAAATGGTGAGTACATGCCAGCAAAGGAGGATGAATGGTCTAGAGAACCACGAGAATTTTAGGCCAGTATCGTGTCGAATTGAAATAAGGGAAACTGAACACGTGTATTTTGAAGTCCCCTAAATCCACCGTGCCCCGTTTTTCTATTTGACCTTTCTTTTTGGAGTTTTGGAGGCATCAACTAGGGATTGTCTCATGAAAGGCTGATTAATATACAGTTAATATACGGTGTTACCGGATATATTATAATATATTTAATAAATTCGGTTTATTGCTACTGGAAATGTTGAGTAATAATAATGTAGTAAGTCTAAATCATGAAGAAATATTAAAAAATTTGGCAACCGGCAAACTTAGCTTGTCGGTTTGTGTCGATACAAATGAAAAATATATCGCTCCATAGCAATATTACAGGTAAAAATATGACAAAACCGGTCTCGAAATGAAAAAACCGGTAAAACGCTACCGGATATGTTGAAAGTGTCGATAATTTAATATAAGTATCGACACTTTCTGAATTTAAAACAGAAGAAGTTATAGCGCCTAAAAAGTATCGATACTTTATGAAAATGTATCGATTCATAACAATATAACAGCTAAAAATATGACAAAACTGGTCTCAAAATGACAAAACAGGTAAATAACTACCGAATATTTTGAAAGTGTCGATACTTTAATATAAGTATCGACACTTTTGGAATTTAAAAGAGAAGAAGTTATAGCGCCTATAAAGTGTCGATACTTTAAAAAAATGTATCGATCCATAACAATATAACATGTAAAAATATGAAAAAACCGGTAAAAAGATATCGGATATGTTGAAAGTGTCGATAATTTAATATAAGTATCGACACTTTTGGAATTTAAAAGAGAACAAGTTATAGCGCTTATAAAGTGTCGATACTTTAAAAAATGTATCGATCCATAACAATATAACAGGTAAAAATATGACAAAACTGGTCTCAAAATGACAAAACCGGTAAAGCGCTACCGGATATGTTGAAAGTGTCGATACTTTAATAAGTATGCGTAATAAATTATCGATACTTTCAAAGAAATAGGTAAATATCCTATTGAAAGCATCGACACTTGACATAAAAGTATCGACACTTAGGTAGTTGTATCGATTAAATATAAATAGCATATCTGGTGTAAATATAAAGGCATAGCTAAATTTTCTCTGAAAATAGATAGAGTTTTTGAAATCGAATCGTAATTGTTGTTGTGTTTCAGAAGACGTTTCTACGATGAAGTTTTGTTTGTTTGTTGCTGCAGTCGAATCGAAAGGTACGTTGTTGAAACCCTAGTTTTTTTTATTATTACAGTAATCGGAAATAGGTTTTTATCTGTTGTTGTTTGGGGTTTTCGAAGTAAATAAGCATTTGGGACCGATTACATATAGAAAGTGATATTCTAGGTATATGATAAATATCGATACTTTTATTTAATATTATAGGTAAAAAATGATATTATAGGTAAAAAATGATATTATAGGTAGAAAATGATATTTAGGTTGTATAAATGTGTCAACACTTGTTGTAGTGGCCATTCAAATTCTTTTGAATACCAACCGTTATACTACAAGAGTGGTTATTGATTTTTGTATATTGAATAAAGTGTATGTAAGCAGTATTTGATTTGATTTGTGCAAACTGATATATGAAGGAAAAATGAAGTCAAAGGGTGGATATATGTACTTCTAGTAAGTATCAATGTCTTTTTGTTATTATTGTTGAAATGGTAATTGGATTAAAGTATTTAAGAACTTTAAATTGATTACAAATTTTAAATGTTGACAGTATGGTCGAATGTAAAAGGATGAAAGAAGATGGCACACACAACGGTTCGATATGTAAAATGAAATTGACATTGAGTATTATTTAGCGTTAATGTATTGATT